TGAGCTTGAGCAATGTGATACTTCAAGAATGTTACAGCAATCTGCAACAATAGACTTGACTGGTGACGACTCTTCCACTTCAGGAAATACAGTAAGGATTAATTGCAGTAAAACCAAATTGAAGAAGTATATAAAAGTTAATAAATACATAAGGAAAGTACAAAAATTAATAAGAAATAAGATTAATACCAAAAATTATGTTAATGTATGTAAAGAAAAGCAAGCATTGTTATATGAACTTAAGTTGTATTCAATTGAGGTGGATAACATAAAAAAATGTTATGAGACTGAAATAGAGTGCCTTAAATCAGAAATATTGTCACTTATGAACTCCCTTCAAACTGTGTCCAATAAATATAAATCAGCCCAAAATGAAATAAAAGAACACATATTGGCTATGGATAATCTGGTAAAGACTTGTAAATATAATGAGGAGCGGTTTGACTCCTTAGTTAAATATCAATGTGAGTGTCAGCGCTCAATGCCAGATTCTTCAAAGTCAGTGTGTGCTGATAATATTATATCACCACAAAAACTCTATGACAGTGCCATAGCAGAGGATATTAAAATAATAAATAACTCAAATATTACTAAAAATAATATAATTGTTTATAGCGATGACATGGGAAAAAATCTAGGCATAACTTTAAATAACTTTTTAAAGGGACAAAAAGTTACAAATTGCTGCATGCCTGGAGCATCTTTTAGTGACATCCTAAATAAAATTATTGTTACTAAATTTTGCCCAAATAGTACAATAATAATTTTTGTTGGTAGAAGAGGCAGTGTCAACAACAAACAGTTATTAAGATATATTGAACAACTTAATAACTTAAATGTACACAAAATTGTCTTGTTCACACTGCCTTATATACAGGGATTGCCACAAGAAAATAATTTAAGACATAATTTAAATATACAAATGCATAATTTAATATGTAATAATAATTTAAATTTGACATATAATTCTAATGATAATAATCATAAATTTCATGTAATTGACATAAATAATTTAATAAAAAAGTTTTGGACAAAAGATAGGTATGACCTATCCAAATATAATTTAAGACTGATAGCAAATGTGCTATCTTATTATTTACTTTTTAACTCAGCCAAGTTTTTGGCTACCAAGACTGCTTTTATTGAGCATAATCATTTGACATTTAATTTGGAATCAGTTCCAACTAATTTAAATTAGTGAATGTGACAATAGAGGCAATCTCTAGCAATAATAAGAGTTTAATTAATTTTGAATACAGCCCACAAATAAGTAATAAAAATTGTTTACACCTGGTGCATCAAAATATACAAGGCATGTTGGGCAAAGAATTGGAATTTGAATTGTTTTTAAATAGTAACAATATACACATCCTTTGTATTACTGAACATTGGCTAAAAGATTATAATTTCATGTTTAATTTCAGAAATCACCAGGTGGTCAGTTCCTTCAATAGAGAAAAAAGTTTACGTGGTGGCTCCTTAATATTAGCAGATAAATCATTATTATATAAAGAACGTAAGGATATTGTGAGCCTCTCTGTTGAACGAACTGTAGAAATGGCTTGTGTCGAGCTCGAGCACCTCATTGTTGTAAGTGTTTACAGACCCCCATGTGCTACTTATGACCATTTTGAAAGGATTGTGGAAGAAGTTTTACTCAAACTTAGTAAACAGAACAAGTCTGTTGTAATGTGTGGAGACTTTAATATCAATCTCCTTGAAACTTCTTCCATTAGTATTAAGTTTAGCTCATTGTTTAAATCGTATAATCTTGTAAATTTATTCTTAGAACCAACACGTATTGCTGGGCCTAGTGCGACCTGTATAGATAACATTTTTACAGATGTTAAGCCCTTGCATAAATCAATTATTCAAAATTTAAGTTCAGATCACTGTGGACAGTTAGTATCACTACCTTACATACACAAAAAACAGAAAAATAAGAAAGTTGTGTTTGTTCCAATAAATGAACATCGCTTGGAGAGGTTTAGAAGTAATATAATAAAAAGACTTCCATCACTTTCGTTTAAAAATAGTGCTAATTATTTGTATGCTACATTATTTGAAATTATACGTTGTGAATTTAGTAGAATATTTACTTCTAAAACTTTCTCTTTTAACAGTCGCAAATCATTTAATGAATGGGCGACAGTAGGAATTTATAAAAGTAGGCGAAGGTTATACGAGCTTTATGATGAAAGATCATATAATAGTAGTGTTATATTTAGAGATTATGTAAAAACATATTCTAAAATATTTAAAAAAGTGTGCTCCACTGCTAAGGCTTTACATTTAAGCAACAAAATTAAAACTGCATCCGACAAAATTAAAATGACCTGGAGAATAATAAATAGTGAAACGGGCAAGGTCAAACCCCGCAACTCGGATTTTCAATTGAATATTAACAATAATTTAACGCGATCTGATCAAGAAGTTGCTATGGCTTTTGAGAAACATTTTACTGATATTCCTTTTTTGACAACAAAATCATTAAATTCTTCTCCTACTGTCGCCGAATCATTGCTCAAACAAAATGTAAAGGCTTGTTCAAATACTTTTAAATTCCATAGGGTACTGCCAAAAGATATCGTTAAATATTTTAAAACTATTGATGTTAAGAAAACGGCAGACTTATGGGGGATTTCAGTTAAAGTTATGTTATCTATAATAGATACATTAGCACCTTATCTAGCCACTATATTTAATATAAGCGTCGAATCTGGTGTGTTTCCTGATTTAATGAAACATAGTAAAGTCATACCTATATTTAAATCTGGTAGTACATTAGACCCCGCCAATTTTAGACCAATTTCTGTACTACCAACATTAAGTAAAATTTTTGAAAAAATTATTTTAGATCAGATGTTAGGTTTCTTTAATATTAATAAATTGCTACATAATAATCAATTCGGTTTTACAAGGGGTCGCTCGACAACTGACGCTGGAGTTGAGCTTATTAAACATATTTTTTGTGCATGGGAGAATTCAGAGGATGCTTTGGGTATATTTTGTGACCTTTCCAAGGCCTTCGACTGTGTTCACCATGAGACATTAATCAGGAAGCTACAGTACTATGGTGTCAAGAACACAGCGCTTAAACTTATTATTTCATATTTAAGTAATAGAAAACAGAAGGTTATTATCAATGGTAAAAGTTCTTCCGGGTCACCTGTACTAATGGGTGTACCTCAGGGCTCGATTCTCGGCCCATTCCTGTTTCTGGTGTATATTAATGACTTACCTCACCTTGTAGGGGATAGTCATGATATAGTATTATTTGCTGATGATACTTCCTTGATTTTTAAACTTAAACGTCAATCATTTAAATGTGACGAAGTGAATAATGCTATATCAAAATTAGTGCATTGGTTTAACGTTAATAATCTGCATTTGAACGGTAATAAAACTAATTGTGTTAAATTTACAACAACGAATGTTCAAAATCTGAATACCAATGTGTTTTTAAATGGGGAGGAATTGAGCCCTGTTGTATCCACTGTTTTTCTTGGCATCACTCTTGACGCAAAGCTCCAGTGGGGCCCCCATATATCCAAATTAGCAAGCAGACTAAGTTCTGCAGCCTATGCTGTAAAAAAGATTAGAGGTCTCACTAGTGTCGAGACAGCTAGATTAGTTTATTTTAGTTATTTTCATAGCATAATATCTTATGGGATTTTGCTATGGGGAAATGCGGCTGATTCAGAAACTATTTTTGTTTTACAGAAGAGGGCCATTAGAGCTATTTACAATCTAAAACCGAGAGAGTCTCTTAGAGATAAATTTAAAGAAATTAATATATTAACTTTGGCCTCTCAGTATATTTACGAAAATTTAATGTATGTTCACAAAAACAAAGATAGTTTTAGTAAAAGAAGTGATATACATTCTGTAAACACTAGGAACAAACACAAGCTAGTGATACCAGTTTCTCGACTCCACAGAGTCAGTAATTCATTCTTGGGGCAATGTATACGCTATTACAACAAGGTCCCGGAAAGTGTACAGGTTCTCTCTATTACCAAGTTTAAATGTTTTATTAAGCTGAAACTGTATAAAAAGGGTTATTATAGTATAAATGAATACATGGTTGATAATAACCCCTGGGAATGAGGTGATTGCTTCCAAGCAGTTTCTAAAATAAATTTTGTAAATAGTTCGTAATCATTTATATTGTAAAATTTATTTAAAAAAAAAAGTCCCGCTGGGTTTCTTGCTGGTTCTTCCCAGGACAGAGGGTTTTTTTCGAACCAGTGGTAAAGTAAAAAATGACTTTCAATAAGAATTACACATGTAATGTATATTGAATAAAAATATTCTATTCTATTCTATTCTATTCTAAGACTACCCCAGGAGGGTACCAGCACCCCTGGAGAATCCCATGCTGAGCATCCACGACCAAATTAATCCACTCCTGGGCGTAGGTGTTCAGGCTGCCCCGTGTATTCTGGGGGGGGGGGGGGCGAAATTCCGCTCAAGACGAAACCTGCTCAGGGCAAGCGGAGCAAGAAGACAAAGGCAACACCTGCCACGTTTTCCGTGGATTTCTGCAATATAGGGGACTTCATTCAAACCCTAACGCCGTCCACTACCATCTGGAGATAGCTAAGCCTGCCTTGCTCTTTCTAACTGAGATACAGGTGTCCTCTCCGGCTGATACTTCGTATCTCTCCTACCCGGGGTACAAATTAGAACACTCGTTTGTGCCGCGGGCTGGAGTTTGCGTGTACGTCAGATAGGACATCTGTTATCGACGCCTCGGCAGTCTTGAAGGTAAGGACCTGTCCATCTTATGGCTACGCGTAGACAGCGACGACCATCCCCGCGTCTACGGATGCCTCTATAGGTCCCATAGCGGTAATGCAGACACAGACCGACTGATATGTATTGCGGGTGCGCAGCACGACAGTAATAAACTAGCCTCGCTACTAAACGGTCGTTTCCTTTGTCCTATACATCTCACTGGCGACGAGTTTTGTACATACCTACGCGTAAAAAAAAATATGTCGTATTTAGGTAATTTGCCTGTTTTCGATCACAAAACAAGTGAATGGTCAATATTTTATGGGAAATTAACACAGTTCCTAAGGATAAATAATGTGACAAAAGAAGAAATTAAGAGTGGTATCCTGCTTACTCATCTCACCGATGAAACCTACCGCTTAGTACGTAACTTAGCGTACCCTAACACGGTGGAATCGTTAACTTACAACGAGCTAGTTCAAATACTCAACAGCCATTTCAAACCAAAGCAGTGCTCCTTCGTAGATAAGGCCAACTTTTTCGGAGCGACTAGAAGTCCAGGAGAATCACTGGGAGACTGGGCGGCGCGATTAAGAGGACTAGCAAGCCATTGCGAATTCGGCAACGCCCTGGAAACGAATCTGAGAGATCGTTTTGTCCTAGGCCTGGGCTCTGGCCCGGAACGTGACAAGCTGTTCGAGCAGAACCCGACAACACTTACGCTAACTAAGGCGATTGAAATAGGGGAACAAGCTGCTTGCGCAAGAGAGGTAAAGGTGATGCTGAATACGAGCGATTTTGGGGTCATCAAGGAAGAACCTGTGTATCGTGCAAAATTTCACCAGTTCGCTCGGGGAAGCGGAGGTGACGGCAGTGGCAATGACAGTGTCGGCGCTAGGACATCGCGACGCGAAACTGGCTCCTGTTCAGTTTGTGGTATGAAAAATCATTACAGTGATAAATGCCGGTACAAAAGCTATAAGTGTCAAAAGTGCGGTATAAAAGGGCATTTAAAGAAAGTTTGTGCTAAAAATAAAAATAACTCGTGTGCTTATCACATTCAATCTGAACAGGAATGCGGCGCTAATGAGGCCAAGGACACAGGTTGCGTAGAATGCCAGAACTTTAACTTAAGGTACGTTGATGATAAACCAATTGAAATAAATTTAATTTTGGACAATCACAACTTAACAATGGAACTAGATTCAGGCTCGAGCAGCTGTGTAATTTCTGGAAAACTGTATGCTGAAAAGTTTTCCGATTATCATTTGAATAACAGCAATATAAAAATGTGTCTGTATAATGGGCATAAAATCTCTCCACTTGGATATTTCTGGGTTGAAGCTTGTTATAATAAAGTTAAACACAAAATAAAAATTTATGTTGTTAAAAATGGGGGTCCTCCCCTGCTGGGTAGAGATTTTATGTCCGCGTTTAATTTAATTATAACAACTAACATAATGTCTATGTGTATTGATAAGAATGTAAACAATGTATTGCAAAAGTTCCCTAACTTGTGGCAGGATGAGTTAGGTTCGTTCAATAAATTTAAAGTATGTTTACGTTTAAAGGAAAATGCAAAACCTAAGTTTTTCAAGCCACGAACCGTACCCTTTGCCCTTAGGGATAAAGTCGAAGAAGAGTTGAACCGTTTAGTGACCTTAGGTATTTTAGTTCCAATTGACCAATCAGAGTATGCCACGCCTATTGTACCTGTTTTGAAGGAAAACAATAAAATAAAAATAGCAGGAGATTTCTCGGTCACGCTGAATAAAGATCTTTTGATTGAAAGATACCCCCTACCTCGAATCGAAGAGGTATTTGCTAAAATTGGGGGTGGCGAACGATACAGTAAAATTGATCTTAAGAATGCTTATAATCAATTTGTTTTAGATGAGCCATCACAATTACTTACAACAATAAATACCCATAAAGGGTTATTTAAATATACAAGATTAGTGTATGGCTTATCTAATGCACCTGCAATCTTTCAAAAGGCTATGGAGACACTTCTCTCTGGCATAGATGGAGTCAGCGTATGGCTCGATGATATATGTATAACTGGCCCCAATAGTGATTCCCACATTAAAAGATTAGAAGAAGTATTAAGTCGGTTAAGTGACGCCGGGTTGCGATTACAGAGAGACAAGTGTGATTTCTTTAAGGATAGTGTAAAATATTTAGGCTATGTCATAGATAAAAACGGCTTAAAGACTGACTCGGAAAAGTTCACGCTATCATTAATGCGCCCGAGCCGACTAACGTAACCGAAGTTAAGAGATTTTTAGGCATGGTCAATTATTATAGGAATTTTATACCAAATGCTTCTTCACTACTCCATCCTCTTCACGAGCTATTGCGTCGCGATACGCCATGGGAGTGGGGCGAGCATCAGAGGCGTAGCATGGCGGCAGTGCGCCGCGAGCTGGCGTCCGAACGCGTGCTAGCGCACTTCGAGCCCACAGCACAACTCGTACTGTGCGTGGACGCCGGACCCGGGGGCCTAGGCGCCGTTCTATCACAACGATCGGACGACGGTCACGAACGCCCCCTCGCATTTGCGTCTCGTTCACTCACCACCAGTGAACGTAACTACAGCCAAATTCAGAAAGAGGCAACTGCCATTATATTCGGGGTGAAGAAATTTCATCAATTTTTGTATGGTAGAAGCGAGCCGTTTATTCTTAAAACCGACCATAGGCCTCTAGTTTCTATTTTCGATACTAAAACAGGCATACCGATTACAACAGCGCTGAGATTACAGCGATATGCTATAATATTATCGGCCTATAATTACACTGTCCAGTATGTGTCGAGCGATAAAAACGTAGTTGCAGATTATTTTTCTCGCTCACCCTTAACGTGTAGAAATGCATCGGATTGCCACGATAACGATTTAGACTCTTACTACGTAGTTAAGTTTATGAATGAGACGTCACCGGCGACGACAATCCGCGATATTGCACAAGTGACACAACAAGATACGGTTCTTAAAACAGTCATTAGGTACATGAATCACGGTTGGCCACGTAAAATAAGCTGTCGAACAATACTTCCTTATTTTCAATGTAAGTCCGACTTACAGTTCGAACAAGGGTGCTTATTTAGGGGACATAGAATAGTAATTCCGTCAAAGTTTAGGGAACACATGCTAAAAGAACTACACGACACACATCTAGGAATAATAAAAACAAAAAGTAACGCACGAAGTAGGATGTGGTGGCCGGGTATCGACCGCGACATTGAACGTTGGATCGGGTCCTGCAAAACATGCGTGAGCTTACGCTGCGCCCCGCCGCGCGATCCGCCGGCGCCGTGGCCCGCCGCCGCCGGCGCATGGCAGCGCGTACATATCGACTACATGACCGTGGGGCAAAGGGTATACCTCGTGGTAGTTGATTCGTTTAGTAAATGGCTGGAATGTATATTCATGAACAGTGGAACGTCGTCACAATCGCTTATTACAAAATTAAAAAATATTTTCTCTACTTTCGGTATACCTAATGTTTTAGTTTCTGATAACGATGTTAAAATAAACTCTAATGAATTTAAGACCTTCTGCTCTAACAATGGTATTAAGTACTTAACTTCCCCCATATATCATCCACCAAGTAATGGACAAGCGGAGAATTCGGTTAGGACTTGTAAAAAAATGCTAAAATGTATTTTAAAAGATAACCTACCACAGCACCAAATTAATGAAGTATTATTGGGATATTTATTTAACTACATGAACACGGTACACTGTACAACCGGCGAAACGCCGGCTAAATTAATGTTTGGTAGAAATCTACGATCTCGTCTCGACCTAATTATACCCATAGAAAAAACACAATTAAATATGCCTTTAGTAACCAGTAGGAGATTTTTTGAAATAGGTGATACTGTTTGGGCTCGGTGGTACAGTGCCCGGAAAGAAACTTGGGAGTTAGGTACAATTAAAGAGAAGGTCGGTAGTAAAATGTACAAAATATTTATTATAAAATTTGAAGCAACATGCATTAGACATATAGATCAGCTGTTAAAATTTACGGGCAACGATAATTCATTAAAAATTAATAACACTGATAATGTTGAGAGTCGCAATTTTCAGTCGTTACCCTTGTCACCGTCTATGCCCGTGAATGCTCCTTTATCCGAACCTTCTGTAGGCAATCCTCGGTCATCAACCATAGTAGAGCAACCCGTTAATACTGACGCAATAGACGATGTTAATGGGGAAGAATGGGGCGATTATTCGGCACAGGACAGCGTGAGAGATTCAACAGAGATTCCGGAAGCGTCAGATTCGCCTGAAGCTTCCGAAAACGGAGTCGAACAGCCTCAGAGCGATTCTGTCCGCTCCAATGACGTACCACCAGCGCAGGTACCGACACCCGCTCGTCAACTGCGCCCCCGGAAGGGGATAGATTATAAGAAGTATTTTAAATGATTCATTGTGTTATTAAATCTAGTTGTTGTTGTGGTGTGGTGTGGTATAATTTAATTTATTAAATGTTGTACATCTGTTAAGTCATAAGTATCTTAAATATTGTTTTATTTAAAACTTTATGTATTATATATTTAATAGAAATTTAAGTATTAACTGATCACTGTAAATCTACTTTGTTAACAGGTATCAAAATTAAGTGTAGAGGAATGATATGTATTGCGGGTGCGCAGCACGACAGTAATAAACTAGCCTCGCTACTAAACGGTCGTTTCCTTTGTCCTATACATCTCACCGACTCATCAACCACGTCCAAATGGCTGCAAACTCCGTGCTACAACAGGTCCCATCCGCAGAGATCGTGATTCTTGGCGATTTAAACGCCCACCACGCTGAATGGCTCGGTTCACGCTTAACCGATCATGCGGGGAGATTTGTTTATCACTTTGCCTTGGCATATGGTCTGAAACAACTGGTTACTTCGCCTACGCGGATCCCAGATGTGGAGGATCATGTACCTTCCCTGTTGGACTTTCTGCTGACCTCTCATCCGAACGGATATTAGGCCTCCATCGATGCCCCTCTGGGCTCTTCGGACCATTGTCTGATCCGGAATACGGTGCCACTCACGCTCCCATCGCAATTGCGATCTGCAGCTTGCCGCCGTGTTTGGCACTATAGGTCGGCCGATTGGGACGGGATGCGGTCTTTTTTTGCATCCTACCCTAGGGTTTGCTTCTCGCCGGATGATCCCAACGTTGTTGCTGATTCTGTCGCTGATGTGGTACTTCAGGGAATGGAATTATTTATTCCATCATCTGTAGTGCCTATCGGAGGCAGAAATCAGCCATGGTTTGGTCACTCCTAAAAATTGCATCACGCTATAAGCAGGAGCGCTACCGAACTGGGCTGACGCATCAACCTCCCGAGATGTAAATACTAGCGCTCTTAAAAAGAAGTAAAATTCCGCCTCCAGGTCCGGAGTTGGCACCGGTTTTAACGCGTCTTTTCCGGTACTCCTACTCCCTTGGCGTAGTCTTGAACTCATGGAAGACAGCTTTGGTGCACCCGATGCCTAAAAAAGGCGACCGCTCAGATCCGTCCAACTACAAGCCTATCGCTATCACCTCCTTGTTCTCCAAAGGAATGGAAACCTTGAGGATCACCAGCTGATTAGTGACCGACAGTATGGTTTCCGTCGAGGTCGCTCAGTTAGTGATCTTTTATGTTACCTAACTCATAGATGGGCGGAGGCAGTGGAGTCCAAAGGGGAGGCGTTGGCCGTTAGTTTGGACATAACGAAGGCCTTCGATCGGGTTTGGCACAAAGCGCTTCTTTCGAAGCCGACTTCCTATGGGCTTCCCCAGAAATTGTGCAATAGATCACCAGTTTTCTTGCAGATCGGAGCATCAAAGTCGTAATAGACGGTGCATGCTCCGATTACTAGTACATTAACGCTGGTTTTCCACAAGGCTGCGTGCTATCACCAACGCTGTTTCTTCTGCATATCAATGATATGTTGCAAACCAGTAACATTCATTGCTATTCGGACGACAGCACTGGTGATGCTTTTTACACCGGCCGTGCCAATATTTCTCGGGCAAACGTCGCCGAGTACTGGAACAAAATTGTGTCTGAAGTTGAAACTTTGTTGAACTAAGTCTCAGACTAGGGTCGACTATATCTAGTCCAATTCAATCCCCAGAAGACACAAGTTTGCGCGTTTACCGCTAAAAAAAAAACCCTTTGTCGTATCTCCTCAGTTCCAAGGCACTCCCCTTGTTGCCTCAGCCAGTATCGGGATTCTCGGTGTCGACATATCGAGTGACGTGCAGTTTCGTGGTCACTTGGAAGAGAAAGCCAAATTGGCCTCTAAAAAGCTTGACGTGCTCAGCAGAGCGGGACAGTATTTCATGCCGGCACACTGCTTGCAACTTTACAAGGCGCAGGTCCGGCCTCACATGGAATACTGTTCCCACATCTGGACAGGGGCTCCCCAGTGCCAGCTCCTTCCACTTGACCGCATCCAGTGCAGAGCGGCTTGAATCGTCGACGACTGAGTTCTTACCGATCGGCTTGACTCACTGGCACTGCGTAAAGAAGTTGCACCTCTTTGCGTATTTTATCGCATCTATCACGGGGAGTGCTGTTAGGAATTATTCAGACTAATTCCAGCCGCCCAATTTCACCATCGCACATCGCGACAAAATTTATATGCGATACCATCCATACCATCTCGATGATTGGCGGTCCGCCACCGTGTGATTTAAAAGAAGTTTTCTCCCTTACACAACTTCCTTTTGAATCGATTACCACCAGCGATTTTTCCGGACCGATAGGACTTCGGGACCTTCACGAAAAGAGCCTACTCCTTTTTGAAAAGCCGGCAACGCATCTGCAATTCCCCTGGTGTTGTAGTTGTTCATGGGCGGCGGTAGTCACTTACCATCAGGTGAGCCGCATGCTCGTTTGCCCCCTCTCCTATAAAAAAAATAAAGACGCCTGTCTCACCACATTCGATGGGAGCTCTCAAGCCCACATGGAATGCTACCTCAAGCCAGCCCAGGTTTCCTCTAAGTTTACTGTGGGTGACCAGATCACTGCTACTAAGCCTCCCGCCTCCCGCCACAACAAATCGGAAACTTCTTCGGGGAGAAATGAGCTACTCCCTTTTTTTGTTTCGTCGTCCGTAACCTTAACTATTAGGCTACCGTTTCGTATAATTTTATCACCAAGAGATTTTAATATCAGGTTTAACATCATAACGGCTTTATTGGTCGTAACTCTTCGAAATGTGCTGTTTAAACATTTGGAGGCAGATTACTTGCCTACTTTTAA